TGACATGTGCGTTTCATTTTGTTCTGAAACGAAATTCGGACGAATTTTCAGAAATTCGGACGAATTTTCAGAAATTCGGACATTCCGATGTGTCCGAATTCCGAATTACAGACATAACGAATGCAAACGAATCCGAATTTCCGTTTCCGAAATTCATTAGGGGCAGTTCGTTCGAATGTTCGTTTGTTGCAGCAAAGTGACATTAGAGAAGGAGAAAAACATTTTTCCCCCCTCAAATGTCACTTTGCTGATACGAACGAACAAACAAAACGAATAAGAAACGGAAACGAACGTTCGAACGAACTACCGCTAACGAATTTCGTCCAAATCTGAATTCCGAGTTGACTTTCACACCCGAATCCCGAAAAACGAATCAAAACAAACTAAACACATTTTTTGCCAGTGCACATGTCTAGTATCAATCTCACAAATTTGTATAACCAATTCACTCAGTGAATGTCTGCATGTAGACCTGTCCAATCTGCAGACAATTACTTTAACAGTGCGATTCTCCAGATTGGAAATTCTGCTTTAATATACTGAGGAGCTGGTTGTCAGAATTGTGGATGTGTCACCTACACATGGCGAGACGCTCCAGAGTTTATATTTGGTGTGGAGAAAAAAAAACATTTTATTTCCTCAGAATCATAATAAGTCCTGTTTTGGGCCCTGAAGCACAGATGCTTTGTAGAGCTTTGGGTGTGACAAAGCCTTAATTTCTAGGTTCATATCTTAACTTGTAGCCAAACGTCAGCATTAGTCTCAGTTGTTCACAGGCCTTTACATATGCGAGCTGACTGAGGTGTAAGGCCTCTCTTGCTCTCTCTCTGCTGCTGTGTGAAAAGGCTGAATGCTGACAGAGCGCTACAAAATATACAAGTGCTACCTGTTTGTGTCGGGGAATGCATTATGGTATGGACTTGCTAAACAAAAACCAATTGCACAGAAACTGTGTTTGTTTGTTCCCTTGCTGAATGAAAGTGCAGGACAAAACTACATGGATTGTTCCTGGGCGTTCCTATCTCGTGCATGGTCTTTGTGCACCACTGCCAATACCAGTTGTGCCTGTCCTTACAATATAGAAAAATACATCACAGGTTCAGAAATGACAAAGAACAGTGGCTCAAACGCAATAACCAATCAGATCAGGGATTCCAAACTTTGACCTTCTCCATCCCAAAGATAAGGAAGATTACCTTGGCCCTTTCTGCCATTACATTGATGTCACCCTTCTTTAGCTCTGCAGTTCTGCACAATCTGCACATGTACTTCCTGCTCTGTAATGAATACTGACCTGACAGTTACCATTTGGCCTTATTTATTATGACAAATACCTTTTAATTTCCGATTTGAATAGCATGGGAAGGGTGAGAACATCCGTCTCATCTTTTATTTGTGATCTGAGTCCCCACTCTAAGGCCGGGTTCACACCTAGGCGGCATTGTTTTTGTGCGTTTGTACGCGTGTGGTTATTTGCACGCTTATGCGCATTGTGCTTATTTTGATGCATACATGAAGATGCACATTTTGACTGGCAGCTTAGGAACCATTGCTGGCAACAGAGGAACACATGTACAAACGTGCAAAAACGTACGTGAAAATGTGCAACTCACTACTGCTGCGCGTTTTTGGGCGTTTCCATTGAAGCTGGGTGGCAAAAATGCGCTGTTAAAGGAGAACTATGGGGTCAGTGCTTTTCCCCCTAGTTCTCCTAAGGGTCAGTTTATGTCCTCCCGTCTCCCAAAACTCAGCATATCGCGAGGTACAGCTCGCGATATACTGAGACCGCCGCAGTCGGGACGGATCCCGACATTACTGTCTAGATCCACCCAGCTGCGTGATTGACAGCTGGCTCTGCCTACCTAGAGGCAGAGCCAGCTGTACCCGCCCCCTCCCCCGTTCGTTCCGCCAGTCAGAGCTGGAGGATCGGACAGGGGAGGGGGGAATCCCTGCGGGGAGGCGTGACTGACAGTCACGGCTCTCTGCAGGGACATGATCGAGCAGTGAGTGAGCGACGGTATGTGTTCACTCACTTCCAGATCTATTGAGCCGACGTGTGACAGTTTCATTGTCACACGACGGCTCGATCTATGAGGATGAGTGATTTTCATTCACCTCATAGTTCTCCTTTAACTGCCCAAAGAAGCTCATGTTTCTTTCTGGGCGTTTCTTTCTTGTGTTAGGCATTTAAAAGTGCTGTGAACCAGACCTAAAGGAGGTGATGAGAAATCTTTCCAGAGGGGATACAACCTGCAATGCAATAAAAAACAAATACAAATTCAGTACAATGGGGAAGGATACAACCTCAGACAGGTTATTATAACTTCGTCTGATCTCCTTTTTATTACTTAGGTTCTTCAATATAAAATGTATATGTTAATTATGCCCATCCCTTCTTGGTCCCAACAAGTCTCTCAGCCCTTTAGGCTCCCGTGACAAAAAGGCTCAATCCGGACGAACTCAGTGCCCCCCCCTCCCCCTCCCTCTCCTTCCTTCCTCCTTTTTCCAACCCCCCTCTCTTTCTCACCTCTGGGACTACCACTGTATGGATTCCCTTATCCGGGTAGTCCCAAGCCCACCCCGACAAGACGTTATCCTGCAAAACCTGGTGACCATTCACACACAAGTTTACGCCATTGGTCAAAAATCGCCGGTTCCATATTTCTATGATATGTATGTATGCATCTCACTGTTGATCATTGTGTCTTGTATCCTATATGCCGCTGAAAACTTAATAAAAACTTTGAAACATGAAAATGTATATGTTAAAAAAAGAAACTCGGCCTGCTGGAAACATTCTCAGGTTTTAATACTTGTGTCTCCACTGGTCAGATTTTTCTCCTCACTTCGTGTCTCTGTCACATTCTGGGTCACATGGTATAACCAATAAAAGATGGGAGGAAATGTCACCAAAGGAGACAAAGACAACAACAATGAAATCCTGACAATGATTCTGATTTCTCCCTACTGTATTGTAAATAAGATATACTGGTTGAAGTTGGAATACAATACAACATAAAGCAATGAGATGAAAAGCACGGTGACCAATCCAGTTACAGTTTACTGTACTCGGGTCATTAAGATTGTTCTGGGGCATTGTTTATTGCTTTTATGCTCATAGATATACTCATTATTCTTTATATTTAGACACCGGTCAGTCTTGGACTCTCATAGCATGTTACAGTAACTTTCTGCCCTCAACAGCAATCTGTAACCTATTTGTGCTACATTCAATATGCTAAGTGGGTTTGGGTGTTTACTTTAGTAATAAATTGGTTGGGCAAAAATAGTGACTTGACATGACCGTGTTGTGGTCAGATAATGGCGCTCAAGTCAATACAGCGAAGATAGGAATATTTAACCGTGTCAGGACATGTGCTTGCAATCATCTTCTGTTTATTTCCATTACAAAAGTTCTGACCACGACAGCTGACTGTAATTCTCATGGATGCCAGTAAGAAGCAACCATCCTTTCCACAAGAGGAAGAGTAGGCTTCATCAGAACATCTGCTTCACTATGACCAGGATTAATCATTGCATTAAGATAATGACCAGAACACATCTAGGCCAAGAGAGACTAAAGCCAGAAGACTGTGATGGCTATAGCGGAGTTCCAAGTCATTTATGGTGTTGTTTAAGCCTCTGGTCAGAATAAGAAACTCCTAGGCACACCCGCTCTAAGGCTTCTTTATTTAAAGTTAAGCCATCACAGAACTGAAAATGTCAAAGTAAGTGTAGCATTTAATAAAGTCATTGCATTTCCTAAGACCTGCCTGCAGTGCTTGCCACTTCCCCGACTTCTGGAAACTTTGGGCTCACCCCCTGCCAATAGGGCACATTAGTGGCCAACACAGGCCCATCACTGGATACTGGGTCAGTGAGGGGAGTGCCCACTGATCCTAGACAGTGAGTTGTCAGACCATACATATACCAACTTGGAAGAAACTTTAGAAATAAGTATGCACCTCGCAGTGCCTGCCATCCCATGCCAATATTTTTCTGATATGTACACAGATCCATAACAAGTTCACTTATAATATATCTAGTTTAGGGGTTATGACTGTACAGTTTACTCCCAAATTTTAGTATCGTAAATGTCCCCACTCGCTCCTCCATATCGTCACCTTCACTGTTTCCATAGTTTTAGGCCATATTTTACCCCCTGTGGGGTTTATACATACACTTAGATTCTAGGTTTTGCCCCTAGACTATTGCACTGTATCCCATCTCAGCAGGGCTGTGTTTGGAGACCATGCTGCTTTACTAGTCTTTACATTCTGGTAAACGTTCCATCCTATTTTACATCAACATTGGAAAATAAGACTAAAATGAGTTTATGAAGACAGCATTCAGTTTCATGTACAGTGGTACCTCGGTTCACGAACTTAATTCGTTCCACGATTCTGGTTGCGAACCGAATCAAACTGTGATCAGACCGGGATCTCGACTGGAGGAAGTCACGACCATGTGTCAGAGCAGGGAAGATGGCTGCGGTTGTGTTCGTCACCCAATGCGGAGTTCGTGAACGGAAGCAAAATTATGCCGAAACGAATTGTTCACAAACAGAAGCGTTCATTAACCGAGGTACCACTGTATATGAAGAGCTCAAATTGCACAGTACATTCGATTATTTGGAAGCCTGTAGGCAAATAGATCAGCTACAGAGGGTCTTGTTACTCTTCTTATCAGCTCCACACTGATCTAAACTTCACATAGGTCCCTAACAAGGCAACAAAATCAAATACAAAGTTCAAATGGGTTTTTACCAGTTCTCTTCTCACCCGTCTGTCAAAAGGGCCCTACATCTTTATAGTGTTCTATGATTTCCGTGACAGTTACCCATTGCATAATCCTCAGATCCCTTTGTTATTTTGAAAGAAAATATTATACTTCATGAAAAAACATGAAAATATTTAAACTCGGAAACTCTATTCTTAAAACCAACACATTTTTGCTTACAAAAGATCAAAGAAATGTATATGTGCATGTATCGTTTCTACCTTTTTTCTCTTCCTCTGCTTGGCCTTGGCAGAATCCGGAGTTTGCGCCCCATTACCCAGGGGACCAGGCTGGTTCTTCCCCATATGCGGCGTTCCAGATGATGGTGGAGTTGGTGTGGCAGGAGGAGTGTTCTCTGGAGTCTCTGGATTACTTTTCATTGGCTGTGCCTGGAAAAGAGGCTTTCAGAACAGGCAACTTTAGTATACCACGTCTGTGTTTAAAAAAAAAAAAATACTACGCTGCGCTTAAACATCTGGAGATCAGCTGCAACCCAAGTAAAAATATATTTCTCCCCCAGCACTTCTCACCACACACAAACAGATACTTGATCTTTGACCTATATCCAATTAAACTAAACCATTGTGGGCAATGGACTGGGGGAAACCTCAGCTGTACCGAGGATGACATCTTTGCATGCCCGATGTATTCAGTTGGAGGGTGTGTTCTATATGGGAGCCACCATGTGTCTACTATAAAAATGGGACAAAAAAGAAAAATGTCAATTTTTCCCACAGTGCTTTATCTGATGATTTATTGCATTTTCTTGTTAATCCCATAAAATGACAAAAACCTAGATGCTTTGCACAACATTTCCACTCTTCTTCCAGACTATCAAGTTTTACACATTGGTTTGGAGACTTGCCCCATTTACTGCAACACTTTTATCCAGAGCACTGGTAGGCAACCTGCTTGACTGCACAGGCCCCAAATGCATATTATAATTTGGGGTAGGCCCCCCATGTACTGTATATTATCCCTATTTAACCTCACAAGTTATGGGCATAGGTAGAAACAGTGGGTCAAGTTGTTTAGCACCAAAGGAAAAAAACAAAAAAAACAAATGTGGGACTGTTGGCCAGGACACCAATTAGATACTTACAGGGCTATTAACAAAAGGGTGAAGAGTTTGGAGACGGCAGGAGAAGGGAACTATCTAGGACAAAATAGCTGATTTGGAAAAATTCTCCAATTCATCTCACTTTCCAGCTCAGCTATGTTGTCCTGGATTGTTCCCTTCTCCTGTCTTCTCCAAACTCTTCATCCTTTTGTGAATAATCCTGTTAGTCTTGGAAGATAAACCTGATTGATTACTCTAGAAAACAACCCAAAGTTGGCTCCAGTTTTCTTTACTTTTACTTTGATATATCAGCTCCAATGCTTAAAGATCAAGCCCAAAGATGATACTGCAGCTTCAAATAGTTGTTGGCGAGCTGACTTACAAGCTGATACAAAGTCAAATCACATTGGGGGGAATTTATCAAAACTAGGGAAGCCCTGCTTGGCAACCAATCAGCTTCTCTCTTTCATTATCAAATATTAACTGAACAAGCGGAAGAGAGAAGCTGATTGGTTGCCATGGGCAACTGCTAAAGATTCTGTCTGCTCCAGTTTTGACAAATCCCCCCCATTGTGATCCTCAATGGACTCTTCATAATGTAGAACAAATGATAGAATAGTCCAAATCTAAAACAGTTATTGCCTTTTTTTTTTTTAGAGTGAGTTGAGAGAAATGACCCTCTAAAGATTAATGAATCACTGAGCAAAAGTAGTCTCAAAGCATGAAAGTAATTATTAGCAGGTGGTGGTGATGTTTTTGCAAGAAAAAAACACTTTGCCCTGAATGGCTACAAAAGTAGTTAGGTTTTGTGACTCCCCACAATAGATGTATATGCTAAGGTAATTTGGTGTTCAATAATAGCTGGTATTACTACAATCGTATTTTCAAAAACTTAAGTTTTATTTAAAAAACAAAAACAAAAACAGTTTATGCAAAACACAGTATAAGAGAAAAGTGGTATCTATTACTTCTCACCTCTGAAGGATTGCGGTTCTGCAAGTAGGCAGCGGACATAGCATGGGAGAACGGATCGCAGGCCTTCGGAGACATATCCTGCTTCACCAGCAGAGCCAGGTCCACCAACTACAATAATGCAATGGATTAGAGCATTAGATCAACAACAATACACTGAGTGGCCAGATTATTATGACCACCTGACATTTGTAGGCAAATTAGCTATAATTTGGCGCTGAAGTTGCTAGAGGGCCAGACCATTATAAATAGGGAAGCAGGTTGTTTACCACGACAGTAGAAGTGATTTCTGAAGATACGGGGAAACAACGCGATGTAACAGCCTTTGAAAGTGGGATGATTGTTGGCGCTCGGAGCCATGGAGCGAGTATCAGTAAAACAGCAGACTTTGTTAAATTGTACACATGGAATAAAAACAACTTCGCTTGGAGAACATTTGGAGTGCTGGTGACTTACTGTTATGTCCATTTGCAGTGTAGGTACCACTTACCTGAGCTACAGTTTCATAAGCCAGGTAGGTAAGGATCTCCATGGCACCTGCATTGGGTTTGATCTCCATGCTGCTGCAGTCCAGCCAATCCCGAAACTTTGAGGCTTTTTTAGCTGTTGGTAACATTAAATGTAAAAATTTAAAATGGAATTGGTCTGGTATCAACTCTAAGAAGTCGGTGTTGAAACTATTCTCAGGTTACTAGGGATCAGTTTATGTCTATGTAAAACTGAAAAACAGATTCAGTGAAGAGCCAGAAAGTGCAAGAAATGATAAGAAATTTCTTGAAATGATACTGAGCAACAGAGATGCAAGCTTTTCACATAACCAGTGACATCATTAGATTACAGCCTATCATGTTCCTGAGAAATTGTGACATCATTAGGATCACAGCCTATCAAGTTCCTGAGAAATACTGACATCACTGAGAATGTGACCTATTAAGTGCCTAAAAATCAGTGACATCACTAAGAGTGCAGTATTAACAGTATAAGAGAAAAGTGGTATCTATTACTTCTCACCTCTGAAGGATTGCGGTTCTGCAAGTAGGCAGCGGACATAGCATGGGAGAACGGATCGCAGGCCTTCGGAGACATATCCTGCTTCACCAGCAGAGCCAGGTCCACCAACTACAATAATGCAATGGATTAGAGCATTAGATCAACAACAATACACTGAGTGGCCAGATTATTATGACCACCTGACATTTGTAGGCAAATTAGCTATAATTTGGCGCTGAAGTTGCTAGAGGGCCAGACCATTATAAATAGGGAAGCAGGTTGTTTACCACGACAGTAGAAGTGATTTCTGAAGATACGGGGAAACAACGCGATGTAACAGCCTTTGAAAGTGGGATGATTGTTGGCGCTCGGAGCCATGGAGCGAGTATCAGTAAAACAGCAGACTTTGTTAAATTGTACACATGGAATAAAAACAACTTCGCTTGGAGAACATTTGGAGTGCTGGTGACTTACTGTTATGTCCATTTGCAGTGTAGGTACCACTTACCTGAGCTACAGTTTCATAAGCCAGGTAGGTAAGGATCTCCATGGCACCTGCATTGGGTTTGATCTCCATGCTGCTGCAGTCCAGCCAATCCCGAAACTTTGAGGCTTTTTTAGCTGTTGGTAACATTAAATGTAAAAATTTAAAATGGAATTGGTCTGGTATCAACTCTAAGAAGTCGGTGTTGAAACTATTCTCAGGTTACTAGGGATCAGTTTATGTCTATGTAAAACTGAAAAACAGATTCAGTGAAGAGCCAGAAAGTGCAAGAAATGATAAGAAATTTCTTGAAATGATACTGAGCAACAGAGATGCAAGCTTTTCACATAACCAGTGACATCATTAGATTACAGCCTATCATGTTCCTGAGAAATTGTGACATCATTAGGATCACAGCCTATCAAGTTCCTGAGAAATACTGACATCACTGAGAATGTGACCTATTAAGTGCCTAAAAATCAGTGACATCACTAAGAGTGCAGTATTATCATATTCCTGAGGAACAGTGTCATCAATAATAATGTGACCTATCATGAAGCATGGGTCCTGTAAGAACGCAGTCTATCTTGTTCCTAAAAACACTTCTATCTTATTTCTGAGAATTCGACATGTGGTGTTCCCAAGAATCAATGACATCACCAAGAATGTGACCTATCACGTTCTACAAATATGTGAGATCACTATAAATGAAGCCTTTCATGTTTCTGGAAAAACGTGACATCACTAAGCCTGACACTTATCATGTTCTGGAAAAACTATGACACTAGGCCTAAAATGAAGCCTATCTGGTTTGGAATAAGTGCTACTGCTAGGAATATGCAACATGTGGTAATTATGAGAAACAGTGACATCACAAAAAAGGGGCCGACTATGTTCTTGAAATCCAGCGACATCCCTTAGAATGCTGTATACTGTGTGCCTTAGGACCACCAACATGACATTTTCTAGTAAGTATTTATGTATATTGTTTTTGAATATTTACATTTTCAGACAGCACAAAGGAACTGTAGGTGCCTTGTCATATGTTTACCAGGCTGATTATAGCAGTTTTGCTGAAAAAGTGTTTAGAATGCTCAAAATCTCAAAGAACTGTGGATAGGCTATGGACATTTAAATATTAACCGAACAGTAAATGAGCTTTAAAACAATCCTTCCTTGACCTTTGTGGCTGCAAGAAGCGTTGAATAATCCATTCTCAAGGTTTACAATAAAAGCACTTTCACTTTAAGAAGCAGATTTTCAGCAACTCAGTGCCTGTTGCTCCAAATCCTGGAGAGACTCATCACTCTTCTCTCCCCTTGTAAATGAGCTTTAAAACAAGCCTCCACTGATCTCCGTAGCTGCAGGCACTGTTAAATAATTCATACTCAAGGTTTACAATAAAAGCACTTTTACAAGCTCATTTTCAGCAACTCAGTTCCTGCTGCTCCGACTCCATTGCACTCTCTCTTTAGAAAACCCATAATGCCCTGTGAATTCAGTGTCATGTGTCCGCCCTGTATTACATTTCTAACTGTATGAAAATGTAGAAATAGTAAAAAATAAATAAATAATAATAATAAAAAAATATATATATACACACACACACATTTGTGGTCAGAGTCTTGACACAAACATGCGTAAAACCCCCTACGTACAGTGACCTGAGATGTGCCTTGGTCGCCCTGGACAATATGCCTTAAAGTGGGCATACACAAGAAAAGATGTACTGTAAAAGGGGTATGGGTAGGTGGGCTACCAGAACACGATCCGACAGAGTGAGGAAAGCTGCGGCCGTATTTAGAGGCCAGACTCCTCCAACAAATTCAGGTTGGCCAATAGCCCATCTTTTTACACACACACACACACACATATTTTATATACATCCGCTCCTCTGCTCAGTGGGCAGGTCCAATAGCCAGCCTTCTATTGGCTATTGCAATTTAAAATAGCCAATAGCAGTCTGGCTATTGCTACCCATTGTGTACTGTGTTACTATTAACTCTTGAGCAACCAGGAACTACAGTTGTCCGGCACCTACCGATCCCCGTGGGTGCCTAATAACTGTACAGTAAACTCCATGGTAAATGTGAAAGATCGTAACTTGATCGATCGCAACCTGAGGAGCATCTGTACACTGACACAATTTCTCTCAGACCCATGAATATGCACTTCCTTGTGTCACCACATGCACTGGTTATGAGGTTATACGTTGGCAGCCCCTGTAGACTCCGCAGTGAGTGAACACAACAATAAAAGCCATTTACAGCCTTGCCACTACAGGTGTGAAGCACTCCATTCACCTTAATTGGGTACTAACATCAGTGCTCAGTCTGGGTCACTTAGTGCTGGCCCCATTAAAGCAGCAGGGAAAGCGAAACAGGGAAAACGCTGATACACGTAGAAGCACTTTTTTTAACCAGAGGTACACCTAGATACAATGGGAGCAGTTTTGTTAAAACTGATGTAAGCCACATAAATGCAACACGAGCTAATGTCTAATTTAATATTACTAAAATTGCTTTTCCATTCCCAACTGCAAACTGCCCTAATTTTGTATGATTGCCAAAACATAACTAACTAAATAGTAAATACATTTTAAAAAATGCTCCCTGTAGCCAGTGCAAGTGGTCACAAACTCTTCTGAAAATCTGCATAGTGCTCACAATCAACTTACAAGCACCTGTTGCTTGAAACATGGCATCCCTAGTGGTGTCCTTATGTTACTGAACAGGGAGTTAGTTACCTCTTAGGTAAGCAATTAGCATGCTGATGGACAAACTTGAAGTCACCTGTTATGCCATGGCATATCATTGTGCCATCCACCTTTTATTTTTAAGACAATGTAATACCTCTTATGATAAATAATGGAACTGACAGTCTCTATAAATAAGGTTGTCTCAGTAGTAATGTTTGCATCACATAAGATAATTAATTAATTTATACTTGAGCATCTCACTGTTGACATAAATCCAATGTTCACTTCACATAACAGGATTGAAAGCAATATGTAAAGATACAGTTGTAATGTTATCCTCACATCACGAGGTGAATGTTTGAAGTCAATGAGTAGTAGTAGTCAGGTGCAATGTTAACTTCACATCACAAGATTTAGCAATAGCTTGAAATAGCTTGTAGCGGCAGAGGGCAATTGTATTGCTGGATTAACAGCACAAGTTTAAAGTCATTATGGTTGTGTGCATATCATCAGCTGTGGCATTGAATGCTTGCTGTTAGTTGCTTTGGGGCTGCTATGGTGAATCCTCCAGACTGTGGCTGATTGCTGGCTGTGGCAGCTAAAGTGCAGTGTCTGGCTTGCAGTCTTGGTGCACCATGAGTCCCAGCAGGCTCGAGTAAGCAGAAGTATTTGGAGGGTTGAGGTAGGAGGCTAATGAGTCTATTCAGAGGCAGAAAGGAGAGCAGGGCTGCTCAGAACTTGTCCGGCCTCCACGTCCTTCGCAGGAATACCGGACGAGTTAATCTTCGTGGCTTAAAGGAGAACTATGAGGTGAGTGCTTTTCACTCACCTCATAGTTCTAGCCGACCTGTGACAATGAGACTGTCACAGGTCGGCTCAGTAGATCGGGAAGTCAGCGACCACATACCGGCGTTCGCTCACTTCTCGATCCTGTCACGGCTCTCTGTTCGAAAACCAGCCGAGAATCGTACGATTTGAATCATGGTTTGAATCATGATCGTGAGGTGGCTGGCCCACGAGCCGGTGTGCGCAAGCGCACACTACACGTTCAGCATTGCGGTCATCGGAAGCCCGCCCCTCAGCGGGGCGGGCTTGCGATGATCGCAAGTACGATCTGCCTGTCCAAGATGAGCAGATCGTACGTTTTTTTAATTACTTTACAACCCTCGCAAGACAAAAGTCTTGCAAGGGTTGTAAAGTGTATGGCCACCTTTATGCTCTTGCTTAGCACTGCAGCTAAGATTTTTGCTGTGAACACCTGACCTCATTTGTGGACTTCAAAGCATAACTTTGAGCCTGTCCCTGATTAACAGGTTTGCTCATGCCCTGAATAAAATTCTGTCTGTGTGACTTCTTTCTGACCGATCATGCCTTGGATCATTCCTGTGTATTGTTTGAAAAACTTTTGTTACATAGTATTTGAGGTTGAATAAAGATACAGGTACATCAAGTTCAACCTTTGTGTGTCTGTGTGTGATTGTGCATGTGTGTGTGTGTATACAAGTCCCTGTGTGATCATGTTTTGAATAGTACCTGTACCCCTGTATGTTGCGGTCTCTGATGAAGGTGTCTAAATGTTTTTTGAATGATTCAATACTCTCAGCTGATACCACTTCTTGTGGCAGAGAGTTTAACCGCTCTAACTGAAAAGAATCCCCCTACGCCCCTTGTGGTTAAATCTTTTCTCCACCAGTTTTAGGTGGTGGCCTCTAGTCTTTGTTATGGAGTTTACTGTAAATAGTTTATTGCTGATGTTGCCATCACCACTAAACATTTTGTACAACAAAATCATGTCCCCTGCACATCTACTCACTTCCGACATGAACAAGTTTAAATTTAGTAGCCTTGTCTCAGCTTAGGTCCTCCAGCCCCTTAATTAGTTTAGTTGCCCTTCTCTGGACTCTCTCTAGCTCCAGGACATCCTTTCTGTGGATTGGTGACCAAAACTGAACTGCATACTCCAGATGAGGCCGAACCAGCGATCCATAAAGTGGCACAATTATTGCTAGTATCTCTACAGAACATTCCCTTTTTAATACAAGACAGAACTCTGCTCGCTTTGTTTGCCACAGCCTGGCATTGCGAGCTATTGTTCAATCTGTGGTCTACAATGACCCCCTGATCTTCTTACATTTTTGACTTCCCTAATGGAGTTCCCATTAATATGTATTCCTCTCGCCTGTTTTTAACTCCCAAAATGCATTACTTTACATTGTTCAACACGTGTGCTTGTCTGTGCTTACCCTGGTCAAAGGCTTGTTACCTCTGTTGTTGTATCTGCAACTAACCTTACCATCAGCTTGTTCACTCTTCTAATGTCTGGTGTTTGCTCCGATCATGTCCCTGAGGAATTACACAGCTCTAGCATCTGTCAACCAGGGTCCATGACACATGCCTAATGAGACGCTGGAGGGACAGGCACCAAATGTGAACTCTTCT